AAACTTTTTAAACAGAGGGCCAGGTCACAGTCCCTAAAACTGTTGGAGGGCCAGATTATAATTTGAAAAAAACATAAGTGAATTCCTATGCACACTGCACATATCTTATTTGTAGTGCAAAAAACACTTTAAAACAATACAATAATTAAAATGAAGAACAATTTTAATAAATACAAACATTATTATTTCAATGGAAAGTGTGGGCCTGCTTTTGGCTGAGGAGATAGGATTGTTGTGTGCTTTCAAGTCATTTCAGACTTAGGAGGACCCTGAGCAAGGGCCGGGTAAATTACCTTGGAGGGCCATATCCAGCCCCTGGGCCTTAGTTTGAGGACCCCTGCTCTAGACCGTAGTATTTATTTTATTTTATTTTTTAATCTTTGGATTTGCTTTTTACAACTGATCAAATTAGGTAGTTTCTATCTGCCTTGAGTCCCCACATGGAGAAAGATGGAACATAAATAAAGTAAATAAATAAGAAATATAAATAAATTAGTTGCATCCCTTGTTGATGTGTGAAAAATGGACAACATGACTGCCTGGCATTTTAGCATTGGAGAATGTTAAAGTTAACATTCTGGGCTCTGATTTTGGCAGTAAGAATGGACTGCTGTCTTTTTTGGCACCTGCAGGCAGCAGACTAGTGTCAGGGGATGCAGAACAAACCTTATAGCATTTCTCTTTAACATCTTGTTGCTACTCAACACTTGCCAAATGAAAGATCAGGTGGACTCTTGGCCTGAAACTGAGGGTTACCTATGCTCTTAGAAGTCCTGAAAGCAATATTCATATCTTATCAATCTATAGTGTGTGCTTTTTAATACATAAAACGCTTTCTTGTCTATAGTAGAACTGCTTTTTCCCACTGCTTTTTCTAGGTGCTGTTTATAAAAAATATTCAAGCCTCAAGTGCACGACGAAGCTCGTTCCCAAGGTCACTTTGCCTCAGGAAGAAGAAATATGCTCCACCAAGGAGGTACATTTTTCATATGTTGCTGACTTCTTTACTTTTTTAATGCATGTAAGGATATCATTGCCTGCTGCATCCCAAGTAGATCATTAGCTCAATAACCTGTCATCCTTTCTCTCCAAAAAGTGGTTGAGCAAATTCAGTATAAAGAATTTGAAGCTCGAGTTGCCCAGTCTCGTTTTTGGACCTGAGTGCAAGCATCAAAAGCACATGGTGGAGTCTTTGCACAAGCAAGTGTCTGCTAAGTACTGCCACATCTTCCCCAGCGTTGAAATGCATGTAAGTCCCACATATCTGTTTTCCTTGGATGTTCCCTAAGTGTCTTTTGTCCTGGGAGTCTCCTTTCCCCCAGCATTTGTATTCCTTCATTGAACTTGGGAATGGCCTTACATAAAACAAGCTCTTTCCTACATTGCTTTATCAGACATTCAAAACAAAGGGTTTCTGTTTGAGTCATTCTAAAACAGGCATGGGCAAACTTTGGCCCTCCAGGTGTTTTGGACTTCAACTCTCACAATTCCTAATGGCCTACTGGCCATTAGGAATTGTGGGAGTTGAAGTCCAAAACACCTGGAGGGCAAAAGTTTGCCCATGCCTGTTCTAAAACAAAAGCTCTTGCTAGTCATTCCTCTTCCTTGCTTCCCATTTTCCAAATGAATGTTCACAGGCACACGCAAATTAACCCACGATCTTCAGCTTTTTCTTATTGACATAGTTCCTTGCAGCTGTACCATTTTGCATATCACAAAATGACTTCGATAACAAGCCTTTGTAAATGACGTTCTAGGGCATCGTCAAACACCTGCAGGTTCAGCTCAAGGATTTGGAGGACTACATTGAGCAGATGGAAAAGGTGCTACGGCGTTATGTTCGAAGATTACAGTGGCTTCTCTCAGGTGTGTATTATACAGTCATCACAAGTGTAATGAGATCATGTATTGAATGACCATGTAGTTCCTAGCTGCTTTCTGTCACACATGCATGCTCATGCCCCAACCAAAAAAACAAACAAACAAAACATTAACCAACTCCTGAAAATTCAGCATTTATCCTGTGACTTTTCTGGCTTGACATTTTAGATAAACTGAACTCAATTGCTAGATAAGCTGAACTCACAGTTTGAAAAAAATGCTCAAATTTCATTTTATATTATATTATTTTATATATAGGAAGCCGTCGGTTGTTTGGTGTCATTTTGGAAGCGAATGTTTGCCTCCTGATTGATGCATCAGGTTCCATGGAGAGCTCTTTGGAAGAGGTCACCAAAGAGCTCACCTCTCTTATCTGGGAACAGCTGAGGAAGAACAACATGAAGTAAGGATGGTGCTGATGGTGGGCTTCCTATAGGCAACTGATTAGGTCCTGTGGAAACAGAATTGAGAAGTAGAAGAGCTTGCAACATGATCCAGCATGGCTCTCCTTATAGTGCTTGCTCCCCTCTGCTACATACAAGATAATCTGTGTTGTCATTTAATTGGGTTCCTTGACTGTCCTGTCTCTTGGCCATTTAAGATTTTGCTTAATTTTAAACAAATGTCCACCATGTTCCGACGGTCTTGCTTGGCAATATGGATCATGGTATCCTGCACCCCAGATATGAAGGTAGCACCACAACTCAGAGATCTTATTCCCATAGAAACACCTATCTTTCTCTGTGACAAACATCTCAGAAATACACAAAATATGGCAGAATGCTAACTGGCTCTTGTAAAGTCCTGTCTGATTTGACTTGTTCCTTCCTAGGTTCAATCTGATCAGCTTTGCAGAAGACGTTGAGGTTTGGCAAGAGTGTCTTGAGGAGGCCACAGATGAGGCCTGCCATG